TTTAATTGTTCTTGTGTGATGTCGTGTGTAAAAAAAGGAAACGAATATAACTTACATTTTTTATCTCGAAAAAGATTTTTTTCAGATTAATTGAGATTACCGTGATTAGAAAGGCAAAAGCATCGAAATTCAAAATCTCCTTTTTTTTCTGAAAATTTTTGTACGAAAGCCGTAATAGTAGCCCCTTCATAATACAAGCCCCCCCCTAAAAATTTTGAACGCTTGGACAGTTTAGAAGCCCCGGAGGCTTCTATTATGGGGGGGGGGGTTTACTTGTGTTTTTTCTCATGAATGAATGTTCTGTTGCTGTTAACTGTTGCTTACCTTGAACGTTTCGCTTTGAGAGGTTTTATCTACTTTTATACAATTTATCTGAAGTTCTATTTACGTAGAGATGCGTGTACTAACTTTATGCTCTTTGCAGATTTTAGTCCAACAAATTACCTTTTCATTTGAGCATGCATATTGATTTAATCGTGGTCAAAAGTATTGTGAAAGAAAAAGAGAAAAATTCATTCAGCCGCACCATACAATTCTAAACTTTCTTGCTTGGCACGTCAGTAATGACGGTTTCCTGAATAATAATATTGCTTTAAAATTTTATGAAGCAGAGACTTACTTTGATTTTATTCGATAGTTTCTTTTAAAGGACCATGTATTATAGCAGGCAATAAATTATGTTTATATTGTGAAACACGAGATGCTGTTATCCGAATTTATCAACCAAATCCATATTTATTATTACCACCGCTATCACTTGGATCAATCTCAAATCAAATATCACAAATTTCCAATGCTTTTATTCGTGAACAACAAGAAGATGCCAGCGAGTTTTTGAATTATTTATTGTATAAAATCAGTGATTGTTTAAATCCAATTCAAGTATTTTCATCCAAAATTAGTATCGCACAGTATTCAACACAAGGTATATTCAGTAATCTATTCAGATTTACATTATAATCAGAAGTCAAATGTCAAACATGTAAACAAAAATCAACAACAGATGAACATCAATATGTATGGACGGCTCCTGTTCATCATCAATATTTTTTAGAAAGCGCTATACAAGATTTTACAAGTCCAGAAATATTATCGAATGATAATCGTTCTCGATGTGGTGACTGTAACTATCAATTTGTTGAAGCATCTAAACAATACCAGTTATTATCACCATCAAAAATATTGTTATTTTCATTAAAATGATTTGTATTTAATAAAAATGAATTATTTTTCAAAAAATTATCACATTTAGTACAATAACCAGAATATTTAGATATTTATCCATATTTATGTGAAAAAACACAAAAAATACATGTTAATATTCAAATAATCGTTCATTACTTTACTGTTTATATGCCATTGTTATTCACGAAAATCATCCAGGTGCATATATTTTCTGTTATGTTGTTCAACCCACAACACCTCAAGTATCATCAGGAATAACAATAATGAATGAGCAGCCACAACATCATTATAATCATCATCATTTAATAACAGCACAAGTAGATCAATTTGAAGTACCAAATGGAAAATATTCTAATAGCGTGAGTAATAAACGAGGATAAATATGATGAAATAACTATACTTATTTCTTTTAGTCGTTGAAACGAATCTCATTGAACGAGAAACAAAAAATTTCCCTATGTAACAGTACAATTACAATTGGACCTCAATCGATTAAAAGAGTATTCGGTAGCACAATCACTTTTGGACCACAAATGGATGCATTAAAAACACCATCATCGGATCAAGTTATTATACATCCAATATCGCCAATGCTTGGTCTGAAGTTGTATTTTTTCAGATTTTTGCTTCTGATAGATCTCTATATCGCATTTCATATTAAAACACAAATTTCAGTTTATTATAGACTGACAAAACATTCTCTGCCCCTGTGAGTACTGTATGCTATAGCAATTGTATTACATTCATAGAGAAGCGGGTTTCGTTTTCCTTTATTTATGTCCTAATCCGTACCCATTTAATAAAAAAAAAAAAGATGATTCGAAAAACTGCCTGATTTGAAGGAAAATTTAGTGCTTTCTTTAAGAAAAAAACAACAGCAGGTTATTAAGACATTGCGGCACTCTTTTTTAGAGAAAAAGTTTTTTTCAGAAAAAAATCAAAAATTTTAACGAAAAGTTTTTATGAAAACAACTTTTGTCAAAAAACGGCTCGAATCTGTCAATATTCTTTTTAGTCGTGATATTGCTTATCTTTAGCTCCAGCATGATCTACCAAGTGCCTTCTAGTCAAGGGGAAAACCGCTGAATTTAGTAGTTCGGTAATTTCAAATAAATTCCCAAAAGTTCCCAAATATAGCTAAGAACATAACAACGATAATAACAATACAAATAAGTATTAATGCCATTTCATCCCAAAAATTCATTTGAAAACAAGTAATAATCTAAAAGTTGAACTGTATATGTTAATGATCACTGACTAGTATTAAAAATAGTGAAAATTCAATGTCGCAGTTAAGAGATGATAGTTGCACACCTGAGACGATTCATTCGATAGAGGACGGCCTAATAAATCAAAGTTCTGTTGTTTTGCCTTTTCATGAAAATCTTCTCAAAAACTACAGATACATCATCTACACATGGTATTCTAGGCTCAATTTTGATTAAATTGAATCCCAAAAGTTCTTCAGATACATGAGAGTTACTATACGTGAATGTAATCGATTTGAAATCAGTCGAAGTCATTCAAAATTCAGCTAAATTCATGTAAATTCACTTAAATTCAAGTAAAGTAAAAAAAGTATCGAGCTCAACTGTTTTTTCCTCGCTTTTAGTTCTAAAATTGTAAAATAAAAGTTTAAGAAATCAGAAGTGTAGTTTCTCAGTCAATGCTCGCATTTAAGACAGTATCAAATGAAAGCTGTTAAATCAGAATTTACTCACGTTGACGAATTTTGAGGAACATCAAAATTTTATAGATAGGAAAATGTGTTTGAAGAAAAGTTCGTACTATTATTAGTGGAAAGCAGATCTTTTTTAGATCCATTGCGTCAGTAGCATTTTATTTCCGAAAGATATATTAAAGGTTTTAACGCTTTCTTTTGTATACTTTTCGGAGTAGAAACCAAATAAGTGATCAAATTTTTTAATAAAGGAATTTTTTTCATAAACAAGATTCTGTAATGATTATTTATTCTTTTTTTGTTATGTTTAGATGCTGATGATAGTAACAATTATACAAGTGAACAAAAACAAAAAGTAATACAAACAGCTTCTAGAATGGAAGATGATAAACAATTAAGCCATAGCTCAGCTTCTGATGATGAGGTACCTTCAAAGAAATTCAAATCAAACAAGGACCTGCATGGTATGTGCAATGAAAAACTTTAAAATTTTAATTAAAATCGTTAATCTGTGTTTTAATTTTTCATAAACGTAGGTTGAGCTACTGCACTTGTGCACTTTGAAGAAATCCAGAATCGAAGAAACTGAAAATAAATACCGCCGGTTCATTTTTTTCCTCCGTTCATCATCATAGCATATGTGTAGATAGTACTCGTCAAGGCGCATCCCATTGTGCGTATTTCAAGTCTAGGAAATAGTTCTATCAAAAGTTATTTTAAAAATAAAATTTTGGAGAATTTTTGGTACTTAGGGAAAAGGTAGTGTTTTCTAGCTTTCTCTTCTAACTGAATAAGAATGTTTCATATACCGGTCGATTTTACAAGACTTACTGTATCTTTATATATGTTTAGTGTATTATGTGCACATAAACCGCGAGAGAAAGTAGGAAAAAAAATTTTCTTCATTATGGATACCTTTAATAAAATTGATATAGCTCAGCTCAGAAGCCTTCCCACAAGATTAAACCTTCAGAAAAACATCCTGACATTTTGAGCTACGGTGAATATGAGAGATAAATATTTTCTCCGAATGGAGTTATGACTTTTTTTATTATCGGGTGTGAGAGGTACAAATTGCTACAAATTTACTTTAAATCTGTTCCAAAAAATGTTTTGGCAAATTCATTTATTTTAAGTGAATTTTCGTGTCCGCTCCTCTCAGGAACTATCAGTACAATGCATCAAACAAGTCCCGCGGACTTTATGCGCAATTTTTCCATTATTCGGATGAGAGAATGGCCACGCCAATTCATCTTGTTTTAGAGAAATTTTCGTTCATAGAAAGCACCCTTTACCAAAATTTAACTTTGTTTTCTGCCCATTTTGCTAAAGTTGTGGATTTTTTATAATGTTTTCTATAAAAAATATGGTTCTAGCAAATGTGGAGACGCGTACAAAAATTCAAAACAGCCTAAAAAAAGCTAGAAAAATGTTTTACTGGTCTATCCTGTATTTTTAAAATCGGACCTACATTTGCTAGAAATCAAAAAAATGTAAGGATTGCAAAGTACAAGCGGACTCAAGGTTTTGTTTATATCTGAAACGTGTTTCCCGAACCCATTAGCATTTAAAATTTTTTTCGAAAAAATTGGTACACAGCACCTTTTTAATACAAGATTTTATTTTTAAAGGAAAAATTCATCGGTTTGTCAAAATTGTTTGGATTCGCATGAAATTTTTGCGTCATCTTTTTGTTCTCAAAAGAATGCGCGCTTTTTGAAAAAAATAGATTTAAACCATGTAAGATAAAAATTGGTTCACCAAAGAAATCTAACTACTCCTCTCGGACAACTCCACTGAGTACAGGAAAAAAGTCATTAGCAGAAAAGTAAATTGCAGTGGCTTACTATATCTGGCGTCAAAGCTATAGTTGTGCTTTTCTTTTAGTGTCAGATGACAATACCATGCCACCACCATCAAGCAATGATCATATTTTTATACAAACATTACGTCCAAATTGCCAATTTAAATTATCAGGTTTTGATCTACTGAAGTTAAACCATATTCGGCAAGGTATTGTCAAAAGATAACGAAATAAATTATTACAACAATTAGGTTTATCAGTGGATCACTCAACAACAACAACAACAACAACAACAACAACAAGAAAAACGATATTCAAAACAAAAGGACAACATCAACCGATTATAAAAACAGCTAATTACAAAAAAATAGTTGACGTCGATTATTTGTATATTTTATTACCATATTTAAAAAAATTTAATTCATTTTGTGCTTTATGTATATCGCAAAGATATTTTGGAAAACATTTATTGAGACCAACTAGTTATTTATTAAAGTGTTATATCCATTGTCGCGCCCAAGCAAAAAAATGCCTTTGAGATTATCTAGCTATAAAAATATGTTATCGGGCAATATCGGCTTGTGATAGCTAGCTATCCGTACCACTTTTATTGAGTTAGCTAGCTATATCGAGTATGATAG